ATGTACTTATACATGCATTAGCAGAGATGAAAAACTAAATGATTTACTGTGAATAATGAGAAGGTGTCAAAAGAGGCTTTATTCAGTGGAGGATACTTAGGTTAAAGTAGCAATACTGCATTATAACAGTACTGTTGCACAAATATTGTTGGCAAAATTGATTTTAAAGTATCAAAAGTAAAAGTAATCATAATGCAGAACAATGTGCCTATAGGGGTTGCAGCATTATAGGCTGTATAATATTGACATATTACTAATGCATTAATGTGAAAATGGCATTTTACTGTTACAGTCTGAGGTGCTGATTTTTAATCTATAGCAACTTTTGGCTATTGTAAGATATGAACATGCATTGTTTTTAAATAAGATTATATGCTTTGTATGTAGAACCTTCATTAAGTAACAAACATAATCAAATACCTAGTAAAATAACTGCAAATGTAAAATATAGCACAGTAAAAAGTACAATATTTCCATGTGAATTGAAGTGGTGTAGAAGTGTAAAATAGCATAATATAGAAACAGTCAGGCAGGAGAGAACAAGTACCCCAAATCAGTACTTGTTTTATTTATTGTACATTCCTCCACTGGCTTTATTGATACTGAAACACCATTGAAGTATTCAAGAATAGGATCAAATTACAGCTGAAATGAGGCATAAGTCTTATTTATGATTTTGGTGCAAACAACAACAACAAGGGTTGTGCCCTTCTGGCTCTGCGTCCTCCACTCTGAATTCCACAGATGGCCCATTGCGAGCTGATAGGCTCTGTGATAAAACTAAACCAAGTCAAAAGCTCTCTGGATAAATGCAGTGATTCCAGCAGAGCTTTGAAGGCACTCCCAGCTGTAGAGGAGAGCGATGCAGCCCTCCAAGCTTAGACGAAGCACAGTGAGGGGAAGAGACAAACTGCCATGAGCTGCCTGACAGCCACAGGAGCCGCGGCTTCAGGTTTCCTCATCTGGAAAAGCCACTGTAGCAGACCGCGACCGAGGGGGAAACGGGAGGGGATTAGGCACAGATAGTGTACTATCTTGTCAGACTGTCAGAGGTGTCCCTTCAAGCACATGCCAGCACAGTCCTTCCTGTGAAAACCCCAGTGATTTAACACAAATGAGCACACAGCAAAAACCTCTCAGTCTGATGTTCCCTCACAAATACTTAAAAAACACATTATCTCTATTAACCACAGCTGGAAACTATGCGAGAGAGAGAGTGAGGTTGATTTCTCATTAGCTTTGTGGATACACAAGCTTTTTCAGGGAGGGGAGGGGGGGGGACTGAAATTTCCTGTGGTGAATTACTTTGTTGAGTATTGCACACCTACGTATAAGACCAGAACACTGTGGCCCCAGCTCGATCTGGACCTACAGTTTCGAGTTTACTGTTGCAGGACGAGCCAACATGGCACCAGTCATCAACATTGTTCACCTTACTTTCACTTTCTCCGTTTTTGAGTTGTTCTCTACAGTGTTTCCAATCCATTGCCTTCTTTGTCTCTCTTTATTGCCTGTCACAGACCATCTCTTTTCATCTATGATTGGTCAGCTTTTCTCTGCCACAAGGATAATCTACTCTTTTGAAAGTCACTCATAGTGCTCTGCACTGATGGGAGAAGTACTCAAATTCTTTACCCGAAGCAGTTCTAATCAAGGTTTTTATTAACAATGGCTCAAATGACTACTTGTATGTGCCACAGGCAATAATCACCTGGCTCTACAGTTCATCTCAGCTCTACAGAGCTTTATAGCATCTTTCAGCTAACTGTTTTGGTTTTCCAGCCCAGATCAGAACCATTATGGTTCACCCTTGCTGCTTTCTGCTGTGCCATTTTCAGGCCTCAGAATGAAGCAGTTTTCAGTAAAAGATTTTTAAAAACTTAGTGCAGACTATCCTAGAGACAGGCAAAGTTAGTCACTAGCTGGTAAACATAGGGGTGCATTTAGCAGCTATAAAAATACATGTTTCCCTCAGTAATTAATGGACAGCGAAACAGATCTCACAACAGGGTGAATATTGGACTTGTCTTTGTAAGGTGGACACAAACATGACTCCAAAACCTGCAATGACAATTATTTGTTGGTTACTTGGGGCCAGTAAAAACAATATTGACATCCTAAAAATATGATACAATTAAAAACATTTGCTTATGTGTTCAGTAAGTGGTTCTGAAGCAGTGTTGTTATTCATTTGGAGTCGTGTTTCTGTTCACCTGATGGAAGTTTAATATTCACTCTCTTCTAGCTGTTTTTGGTCTCTGCAGCTCCTGGGAAAAATATCTGGCTGGCTCTTTGGTTGCTAATTACTACTGTGTTCACCAGCTAGTCACTATCTTTGTCTGTTGCTTGTTTTTATAGCTTTATTGCTGAACATGACTTCCTGCTGCAAATGAAACTGCTGTGAGAGTGGTGGGAGTGATGAGAATCGGTAAAATTGCTGGCCATAAAACCAGAACAATGAGCCAAAGGAAGTGAAAATGTGATAAGAAGAACTGTTGAGTCTCTGTGGGTTCACAAGACACCCCCTTCACATTATATGCAGTCTTTTAACTCATTGTGATTATAAAAATATTGATTTATAGTGCCTCAAACTGTACTTTAGTACACCACTTGAATCATTGTGCTTTCTACCACTGGCCCTTTGTTTTATTTGTTTTACATTTGAGCAGGTTTGTGTCCACAGCAGTTCAGGTGACAGTGCCCTTTTTTGTTTTTATTCTGTGGCCAGTGTGAGCAGACACTGCAAAAGAACTTCCTCAAAATCCTTCACATCTAAGATGAGTGAGTCCAGTTAAAAACAAGCAGATGTAAGGAGCCGATTACACAAAGAAGGCAGATGTTCATGCACATTTCTCATTTTCTTGTGTTTGACCCAGCCGCCACAGCGTGAACTCCCAGCAAGTGTGATAAGTTAACGAGATTCAAGCTGAACTGCTGCCAGGACTGCACAGCTGATGTATATGTGCACTGTGACCGGCGCTGTAGAGTTCTTTGTCACAGCTGACATCCCAAACCACAGAGCTGAAAACCAGCCATGCCAGTACAAGACATCCGGGGCCAGTTTCACAAGAGTAATTGTAACATTCAAGTTTGACCTCTGCCCCATTTGACCCTTGGAACTGTGTGTAAGAAACTGATGACACCAGCTGTGGGAGGGGTCTGCAAGTCATGATAATCATTGTGTGTGTGACTAATGTGCATCTTGCTGTCCTTTGTGCCTTCCTGCCTGGAGGAACTCCACGCTAGTTAAAGTCTGTTTGTTGTAAATCTTTATGGGTTTCAGAACAAACAGTCTCATTTTCTTTTAGACAGTTTATGCAGAATTTACCATCATCTGAAGTTCGATAAGCCTGCCTGTGCATCCATTGCCCCCGAGCTTCAGCCTTGTAATCTTTTTCCGATGCAGCCATTTGGAAAGTCTTTTTGAAGTCGGTGGGTACTGAAAAGAGGCATGAGGGAGAGCCACAAACATCAGACAGGTACACGGCCCCCTCAGTTAAACCCTCCTCCTCCTCACGCAAATGTACTTAGCAGCTGTTTCTGTGGAAGTCAGTGAAGAGAGACTCCATGGAAAAAGGAGTGGAGCCAGCTGGGTGGAGAGGACTGGGAGGATATTTTTTTCCACTTATTTCTGTCTGACAGGCACATACTGATTTGTCTCAGCGAGCTATTTATCTTGAAGTGTGCAGATTTTCGCACGCAGTGGCAAGCTGCAACATCTAGGCTAGAGATGAAATGGGTTCAAATAAGCAGGAGACCAATTATAGAATTAGATTAATGTTTTCTTTTGTAATAAAACACTCTTTTATACAGTTAGCAACTTCTAATATATTTTTAAATAATTTTGGACTGGAAAAATAGCACCTTTCTTACTATATGGGGAAAAATGTGTCCTAAGGTTAGGACTGCGTGTTGATGGAAATTATGGAGATTGTACTCCTGTAAAAAAACAAACCCCCCCCCCCCCCCTCTCTTTGCCAGCAGGATTTTACGACCAGTGGTTATGTATTGTAGTTTGGCGAACTCTAGTGACCGTGGTGATTAGGACACAAGGAAAGTAATATATTAGGAGACATACTATATAGAGCCACAACGTCTGCATTCTGAGCAGGGAAGTAGGGGTGGATGGCTGGTATAGAAAACACAGGACTTTCCCCCAGGTGAGCAGTGTTCACTTCTATGGTGTAACATGACTTTTTTACCAGGTTGTCTTTGCTACTAAATCTAAAGAAATAGTGGTTTCATAGTTGTAATGATATGTTTATGGCTGTTTCCATGACAGCGTATGTCTGTAAAGCCTCGCTGGTGTGACTTGTGTTGTCTTTATTGTTGGCGGAGTTCTTGCAATTCTGAGATGGTCCTGCTGTATGGGTCGTATGAGAGGGAAGGGACAAATGGACATATGGGTCACATTGGACGGAGGACTTGTTGGAATTATGATGGAATCGGCTTGCTCTATAGCTCATCCTTGGTGCACACCTGGATAGGGCTTATCAGTTTTTATCAGTTGAACCAGACAAGCTAATGTTGACACGGGTGTATTTAGTGTTAAGTATGTTCATTAATTCAAGCTCACATCAGTGAATTCTTAATGATGTTCATCTGCAGCTATCCTTTCTGCCTCTGTAGAAACTTGCCAATAACCTTCTTAGTGAGAGGCATCAAGATTTATTCGTGTTGCATGGAGTAAATGTGCATTAAAAAGAAGACCATGCAGATTCTTACTCATCAACAAGCTAACACAGGTTCATAGAAGACAGTGTTAAGAAGAAAAACTGAATGTCTGATAAAGTTGCTTCTATTCTTGCTGTGCAACATTGTGTTTGTTTAACAGAGCAGCTACAGGACACACTGTTGGGTGGAAAATCTTCATGTTGGCACATTGCCGATGAGGCTTAGTTCTTGTCAGACAAGCAAACACCAAAAGGAAACAGTTATAGGTATGTAAATCTCTGCGACAGTGAAAGGCCATTTCTTCCATGTCCTTGTTCTCGTTTCAGAGCGTTATTACTGGGACTCTAAACTGCGTCTTCCCACAGCCAACTACCAGGAGGTCCTCCATGACGATAAAGCGGCGCTGGCTTGGCTCTTGGCCCTGCGTCGTGTTGGCATCGTCTACCTGAAGGGGGCTCCGGCAGAGCAGGGCCAAGTGGCCAGACTCGCTGAGAGGATTGGCTATCTCAGGCTGACATTCTACGGGTAAGACTCTGTGACATTCACTCATTTTGCTCCAGTCATCCTCAGCCAAGCCACTGTTTAACAATCTGACTCCCCACTAAATCTTGAGCTGGTGAAATTTCCACTGATCATATTTTAGTTGCAGTTGCCTGGGGAGTGTTATTAGTGAAAATGAAATACAAAAGATCTTTTGTTTACATCCCTTTTCCAGCGAATCACAAAGCCTATACAACATTAATCTTTGGGAAACTGTGTCCACTAGTCAGTTATCTGTAGCCATGATTCATTTTGGTTCCGTGGAGAAGCTTAGAGAGTGTCTGTTGGCCCTTTTATCATGCCAGGGTTCACTCTGACTTATTGCACTGCTGATTACTTGAGGACAGAGATGGAGAAACAACCTAAAACCATTCCAGCTCTTTTAAGCCAGATGAATTAGCTGGTGCACTCAGCTAGAGCAGAGGTTTGGAGCATAAAGCTTTTCCACTGCCAGCAGATGAGCTCATACTGCTGGAAGTAAAGAGACTGCAGACTAAAGCTGAAAGTCTGCCATCAGAGAAACTAGACTGTTTTACGAGTTAGGTGTCTAAACACAGCATGCAAACAGAACAGGGAAGATAACTTTACCTCATTAGTGCTTGGCTCCTCCTGAATCTCAATGAAGTATCTACTACAGTGGAAGCATTGCTATGAAGCTGCCCAGTTTTTCCTAAGGGATCCCTGCGAAGTTCATCTCATCTTATCCTTTCCTCTACACAGCCTAATTGTCACTGCTGATCATCTAAAGCCAAAGTTAAATAATTAACATGCAATTTATTAATGGATGTTATCTTTGTCCTCAGGCACACATGGCAGGTCCAGGACAAACACATGGCAAACAATGTAGCCTACACTTCAGGAAGGCTCAGTCTCCATACAGACTACCCTGCGTTACACTTCGCACCTGGGGTGAGTAAAATTTGACTTGTATGGTGTATTCATAGGATTATACTGCACTAATCAGACATGGTACCACTGTGTGTTGGTGTTGTAGGTGCAGTTTCTGCACTGCATCAACCAGGCTATGGAAGGAGGCATGAGCGAGGTGGTGGATGGCTTCCACATGGCCAAGCAGCTGCAGAGAGAAGATCCAGAGGCCTTTCACACACTCACCTCGCTCCACGTGGATTTTACCGACACGGGGACAGACTACTGTGACTTCATGCTGCAGTCCAAGAAGCGCATCATTGAGTAAGTAGAGATGGGCGGTTTGATCTTGTTTTATTCCCATGCATAAATACACATTCACATCTTTATATGAGACAAAAAATGTTATGTTTGTAATAAATTTAAATGACAAGCATTTAAAAGAAAAGATGCAGGATAAGTTTTACTTGTGAGTGAGTGTGTGTGATTTGAAGTGGGACACTGCCACCTGCTGTTCAGAATTATATCCAAATAAATTCTCTATGGCCTCCACACAGCAGAGTGTTACAGCTGTATAGGACGCATTGTGTTGGAAAGCAACCCGTTTTGGGTCTAATGTTCATCCATCCACATACTTTTGGCCATGTACTATAACTTAAGCATCATAAAACCTGACAAAATTAGTAGGAAGAGGAAGGAATGAGATTGTTTTTTAAACAATGTGTCGGATAACTATATGATGCCTTTCAGGGTAAAAGGACTAGAACCAACTGTTATTTTTATAATAGATACATTTACTGATAATAAATAGTGAAAATGCTTATTAAATATTCCCAGAGACAGTGTGATGTCTTTGCATTGCTTTGTGTAATAGTCAAAGATAATGAATTTACAGTTGTGTATAAAAAAAACAAAAATCATCACAATGGAACGGAAAATATAAGTGAAGCAGTTAAGTCATTTCTCAAATAAACATGTAAAACTCTGGTTTGGGCTTCTCAAATGTGAATATTTGCACATTTAAACAGAACATTTTAGAGTGTAAATGAGACCAAAGACATTTGAAGACTTTCAGGATCAGTTTTCATATTTTCTGAAATTGTGTCTACTAAATCCAGATTATACCAAATGAATTGATAATAAAAGAAATATTCATTAGTTATAGTGGTACTAGTTTTAACATCTTTGCTTGATATGTGACTTAAATGGTTAATCATTGTCAGCAATAATTTTTTGTTGATCATATCAGCAATCAGTGAATTGTTTTCAACTGTTAAAACTAAATGATTCATGGTAATTTGACATTGAACTTTGCCCTTCACCCTTCTCTCTGAGCAGTGTTGATGCCGAGGGCAGAGTTGTGAGGATAAACTACAACAACGCCACCAGAGATTCAGTGTTGGACCTCCCGCTACATCAGGTTCAGCCCTTCTACAGAGCCCTGAAGGCCTTTGTGGACCTCATGAACCGACCAGAGAACATGGTGACCTACACAATGGAGCCAGGTCAGGGCACACCTCTCATACCATAACAAGAAAATGTCAAACCACTACTCATGGTTACAGTCTCAGATGGCTCTCTGTGTCCATAATTTTGATTCAGGGGATACAAAAATGAAAATAATACAGAAAGAAAGGACGAGAAAAAATTCAGTAAAATGTCAGTGAGGCTTTCAGAAGGATCCACATTGGCTGATATACTGAGACAGTGATAAACATCTTTATTGTCATCATCAAGATCGCCATGACATCAGAACCTCTGTCACTGTAGAGCAAATTATACTTTCTAAGTAACTCCCAGTCTGAAGATGAAGTAAAGACATTGTATGGGATGTTAGGGACATTAAATTTTAACAGGACGGTGCCATTAGTAGGGAGACAGCATTTTGACAGCAGCACCCACAGTTCACGCCTCCATGTTGGAACGCATCCATCCTGATGTGTCCTTAAGGTTGCATAAAGCGTTCAGTATGCATCACACAAACCTGTTTGTGTCAGCCAACCATGTCTCAAGGAAAGAGTTTTTACGGAGGATCTGCAGGATTTGAAAAGCACTGAATTCAGAAGTCATTATAACAGTAGATAACAGTTCATCTTGTGTGTGTGTGTGTGTGTGTGTGTGTATGGGGTGGTGGGCTGTTATGAGATATCATACATCTATAAACTAAAGGTAGAGACAGTGAATTATGCTGCAGGAGGCTTTTCAGTCCGTTTTTATGGTTTCAGTAGTGCCATGCAGTAAAAACCACTGCTACAGCAGCTAGGAAGCTCATCAGTTTATAATGGATTTGGATTAGATTTAAATAAATAATATAATTATTTTTTAAATTTATTATTATTATTAATACTGTATATACAGTTGGCACACAATACACATTATTACTACTGAAGCCCTAATATTTTGACTTCAGTCAAAGTTTGGGCTACATTTGGGTGGAAACCTAGCTTATGTTATCTCCACCTGAACCTGAGAAGTGTTTGCCCAGGATGTGCAGCTTTGGCTCAATTCTTTCAGCACAGTATCGTTTAGCTATCAAGTGGTTAAGACTCTAGACAAGTTTCACCTTCTCTCTGATGGCTGAAAGGAAATTTTAGGTATAATGAGGCCTTTGATCCTTAGCAGCTGTTCTGCAGCAGACCTTGATCTCTGACCTCTCTATGAAGGAGGTGGAACAAATGACAAAATTAATGAATATTTATACACACACACACTTTGTCTGATCTTTGACGATGTTTTTTTTTCAGGCGACATAGTGACCTTTGATAACTGGCGACTGCTACATGGACGAAGGAATTACATTAGCAGGCCAGACAAGTTGCGACACCTGGAGGGAGCCTACCTAGACTGGGATGAAGTCATGTCTCGACTCCGGATACTCAGGAGGTTGGTCCAGGAGCATCAGAAACACTGCCAAACCTAAATGGGCAGGTTTACAGCCTTTGCAGAAAATCTAAACAATTTCAGGCGCCTAAAAACTACAAGCTAAATGAACGGTGAATGAAACGGTGAGTTAGGATGCTTTCGTTTTGACTGGATAAAATCTGCAAGGCTTAAATGTTAACAGAAACATTTCGAACGTGTAAAATGCAACGCTGCAATGCAAAGATTAAGAAACACCTTGTACTGAAATGTAAAGGTGCTTTTGAACTGATTAGTCATAGTGACTAGTGACAAATACATTTTTATAAACTTAAATGTAACTACGAAGTTTTATGCATCATCTGTGGTGTTCCACATTACTATGATAGTGTAACTTAAATATTTTCTAAACTGACTGACATTCCCAGTTCTCTGGTAAATTGTTTGGTACAAGATGTTCTGACTTTCTCCAGAATCTCCTATTTACTATATTTAGTGTTTGCAATTTTGGCTGATGACATGATTCACGAGGGTTTGTTCACTCTATAGTAAATTGCCAATATATAAAGTGAGCAGTGAATGAGACCATGTAAATTGCATCATAATACTTAAACCAAGTTTACATCATACACCGATCAGCCACAACATTAAAGCTATCTGCCTAATATTGTGTGGGGCCTCCTCATTCGGCCAAAACCGGCTCTGACCCACTGAGGCGTGGGCTCTACAAAACCTCTCAACATGTTCTCTGTTGCCAAGTGTTTGCTCAGGTGGGATTTGTTAGGTTTTCTCTATAGAGAATATGAAGCTACATCACGCTGTGCTGAATGTTGGGACGGGGGTGCCATTTTGGGAGGGAGGCACTGACTGTATTTACAGTACATTCTTGTTTGGCTAAAAAGTTGTGAAAATTCAGAATGGACAACTTTAGCTGAAGTTTAGCTCAACAGGGCTGACCTGTGCTGATGGGAAAACGCCAGTCTAGCCTACGTAGTTTGGCCCTTGTCAGAGTTGCTCAGGTCCTTTGGTTTGCCCATTTTTCCTGCTTTCAGCACATCAGTTAACATATCCCTTATACAGCATGTCCCACCTCTTGATAATGAGATAATATTGTTCACTTCACCTGCCAGTGGGTCTAAATGTTGTGACTGATCAGTGTACAAAATGTCTTACCAGCTGCTTTAGTTTCTCCCCCCTGTACCTCCACTGTTTAATCTTGCACCTACATAAAGGATGAGATGTCCTGGGCTCTCCTTTAATTATGTAGAGTTGCAGTCTAAATTCAGAATTCCCTAAAGCTATAGTAACAGCACTTAAATGTTTTCAGCAGTATGCATTAGATTTCTTTTATTACAGTGGGATGTGGGCAGAGTTTTCAGAGAATGGTATCTTGGGCAACCAAGATCCAAAACTGTCTGCATGGCTTCCACAGGCCAGTGATAAAAGGCCTTTTTGTAATAAAACAATAGGTACTGTAAACTAATGTTTAAAACACACAAGTTATGTTATGTTTCAGTGAGGCCAGTCTGATATTTATTCTGCAGGTGCTAGATATGTCTTGCTTGTTCACTGCTTTTTGCCAAAAGAAAAAAAAAGAATCGGCAGTTTATCTACAAGCTTCCAATCTTTTGCTGTAGCCAAAGAGCCACTTAGTTTAAAGTGTCCATGGCATGCTCATTTCCATATTTCCATCCATTTAAAGTTTAATCTTGGGTACCTCTAGATTAGCTTTGCACCCATCATAACTCCAAATAGTCTAATTATTTCAGAACGATAAAACCAGAGAGCCTCTTCCTAAAAATGAGAGGATAGTTTGTGAATGCACACAACTCTTGCTGCCGGGGTTGTCTAAATCCGTTTCCCCTTCGAGATGAGTTTCCCCTAACCTGAATCCTAACCACAACCACTGAGGGGGAGGGGGGAGATATGAAACTGAGTTTTGAACAGGGGAAACACGTTTCCACACGAGACCGGCCAGGAAGCATTGACAAATAAGCTACGTTTTCGACACTGCCTGAAATCCAGACAAGTTCAAGCTAGACAAACTGCAACAGCATTAATTAAATGGAATTTCTCCCCCATAGATAGGTAAACAACGGTATATGTACTGATGAAAAAAGATGTGTAACACACTAAACCAAGCAGGTAGCTGAGAAACCCCATATTTTAGCTGGTGTAATGCAGACATAGTAACTTCTCCAGCCTTACAAAAACAAGGCATTAACAGACATGCTGTGTGTGTTTTTAACTTACCATATAGAGATCTTTCTGTATTTGGTCCATGTCTCATCGGGCATTAGACTTAGTTACTAGTGATGGGTTCTGACCGGCGGTTTAGCCTCTGTGGCAGCTTGCACCTTTGCTTCGGTCATCTTTGTATTTTGCACTTTGAATCATTTGCCTGTGTTCCTTTATCCAGTCTTAAATGGCAATTGAACTGTTGTAGAGATTCAAAGTATTAGGAAACATTGATTTGTTAAATTATGTTTTCACTGAACTGTGAGTACCACTTGCTAAAATAAAGCTTAAGAGATTTGTTTCCCCACTTGTTTACATGTTTGATTCTTGACACACACTTTGCTTTCTTAAAAATGATGAAGTACACCGAGCTTCATTTGGGACAACTTTTATTATATAGCCAAAGCTGTACATAGTCTATAAATACTTTTTCACATACTGGACTACTTGCACCTGGCATCTCGTTTCCCTTTTACTTCTCATTACAGCAGCCTGTTCATACAATGACAGAGGAGCCGTAATAATCCAGTTTAAAAAAAAAAAAGTCATTTTAACTTAAGTAGAAAGAACCATGTCCCATTCCTAATTCAGTTTTGGAAATGCTTCAGATCAATTCCTTATATACACACACACACACACCAGTGTAGGGTGTTACTCATTAATGCAACAGCATCTTCTGACTATCCTGATTATCTTCCTTTGAACAGTTACATTGCTAAAAATACAAGCATGTCAAAATAAAACATCTTCCTGTGATCTATATTGCTGATCTGGAGAAACTATTCACCACGACACACAAACCCTCACACACACTCTGGTAGTCAAAGTTGATGTACCAGCGATAAGACGGGATTCATCAGTTCTTTACTAGCACAGAGCAGAAACAGCACATCTCCACCGTGACTGTAGGCTCACACAGGATGGAAAGCTGCTGTTGTGTTTTTATTTTTATCACAACCCAATCAGTTATATAAAAGCAGGTGTATTTCCTTGGCTTCTTTAACACCATATTCAGTGACCAAAAGCTGAGCATTCAAGTTCTTTTTAGACCAAAACTCAACCAGTTTCAGCCTGTCACCTGAGATTTTCTGTACTAATATGTTGAATATTTTTGTTTTTTGGACTATTGGTCAGACAAAACAACCATGTTTAATAAGTCAAATTAGACCAACTATTTTCTGGCAACTACTTTCTACAAGTGGTTGCTGCTGTTAATATTATTCAGTCTTTAAAATGATTTAGGAGAAGGAACAAGTGGCTGGAAATATTTGGATGCAGCCTCTTTTTTTAAAAAAGGTTCTGTTAGAGAAATCCATTGGTCACATCTTCTGGTGGCCTGTGTCTTACGGTCCTTATATCCTGTATGATGAGAGGGAGTGGGTAGATTTATTTCTGCTAAATTTCCAGGCAGAGCTCAACAGTGCAAACAGCCTAAATTAGCTTCTTTTGTTTTGTCATATATCAGATGTGGTTCATTATCAAGTAAAACCAGATATAGTTTAGAAAAAAAAGCAAAGCTAATCCGTTTTAAAGACTGAACAATGTTAACTTAATGTTGACACATCAGGGCTCCCTATGGTCGCACAGTACACAAAATGGTGTAACCGGCAGTGTGAGCCACATGCGTTGGATCATCACTTTTCAGTTTGGTACACCACAAATAACAGCTTCATTTGACAAGTAATGTGTGCCCACAGCATCGCCGCCAACTCGAGCTATCAGAATTCAAATGGAAAAACTACTGTATCCTCTGCTCCTACCTGAGTAGTACTAGTAGTGCACAGTGTCGCTCCCACCTCCTGTAGTTTAAAACACCTGCTGTGACATCACTGACTGGGGGTGGGGCCTCAGTGCGAAAGCATAGCAGCCACTTTTTGCCACGTGTGGAGTTGCTTTACCTTTGAAAGACTGAACAGTCATGTCACACTGAAGTCATGATATCCACTTCAACTAATATACACTACAGAAAAAAAAAATTCTTACATTCTTCACCCCCATGAAAGCCAGTTAACTCGAGAAAACCTGGCTCTGGCAAACTACTTAAGTATTGCACATCTAGCAAATCAACAGTTTGTAACATTTTTTTCAGAGAAATGTACAGTCTATATATTAAATACTATATATAGAAATATATATATAATTATTTTTCATCTCCATAATAACATGCAGTTGATAACAGCAGACCACAGACGAGAAAGTTTACAGCAGAACTAGAACAGGAATTTTGCCTGGCGGATGATCTAGGGCAAGAGAACACATTATTTTAGGGTTCAAACACCTTTAAGAAGCATTTACTGGTGCAGTATACAGTAGCGCTGTCAGCATGGGACGTCCTGCACTACACAAGGGTCTGTGGATATTTCACCAGCTTAAACTTGGACAGACTGGAATTTTACAGTAACCACGTATCACAGAATAACTTGCACAGCTGTATGGGAATGCATGGTGGGAACGGTGGGGGGCTTGGTCTGTAGTCAATGTCAAGGCTGTGCATGGGACCAGTATGCACTCTGCTTCGGGGCTGTTCCTCGAATCTCCTATTTGTAAAAACAGGTCTTGGCATCAGGAACAAGAGAAGACGATCACACAGAGGAGAAAAACTCAAAGGGAGTCGCTTCTCCCTGGTTAAAGTGCAGGCAAACATTTAACTAGGTTGAACATCCAGACAACAGTTACGAGGGGTTGGAATTATTTACACCACATCACAGACCAAACAAGTCTACACAGTGAGATCTAAAAAGGGTCTTAGGCTTGTATATACAGAAAGAGGGAGGTGGAATTGTGTGCTTAGAATATAGTGAGGGATTGTCAGAAGTCTGTGGTTTTACAGCTGAGATGCCATTTTAAATAAAGAGGCACACAGAAGACAGGGGAGCGGGCAGGGTTGTGGGGG